CTGCTCCGTTGTAGCTTTCCCTCCCCATTGTATCTTTCCGTCAAAATCCAAAGTTCTAAATCAGTATCTGAGGTCAGTGATGGACTGGATGAGAACAAAATGAAACTTAACTTAGGTAAGTCAGAAGCACTCCTGATCAGGGAATAGGGATATAACCTGTGTTGGATGCAGTGACACTCTCCTTGAAGACTCAGGCTTGCACTTCAGGTGCATACATGTATTCAGTCCAGAACCTTATTGCCCAATTTTCACAGGTAGTCAAGAGCACACTTGCATAGCTAGGGATAGTGCACCAGTTGCACCTGTAATGCACTCTATGTAGAGCTGTGTTTGAAAAGTGGTAAGAAGGTTGGCTGGTTTGCACTATTGATTATAGGGAACATGTGACCTCCTGGTATAGCTGCTTCACTGGCAACACATCTGTTTCTGGGTAAAATTTCAAGTGCTGGTTGTGACCTATAAAGCCGTGTACAATTTATTACCAAAAGGAGAAATGCCTTCCTCTTATAACTGAGTTGATCGAGGACCTAATTGAATGGGTGGTATTTAGATGCCACTAGTGGATGGATGGATGGATGGATGGATGGATGGATGGATAGATAAATATATGGCTATTTGGTCTGTCCCTTCTGAAGCTTATGCATAACTTTCTATTGATGGAGATACTACTACAAACATATACGGATATACATTTCATATATACCAATTGGAAATGGTTTATTTTAATTTGTGTAAGAAAAGTATATCTTTCATTTGCTTATTTATTTTGGTGAAATTCACATTATAGAATTAAAATAGAACCGTATGCAGGTTGCACATAAGCTTTTTGACAGACTCTGTTCTGCTCTATGCGCCTGGCTGGGTTCTAAGTTCTGGAGAGGCCTTTCTCTCTGGCCTGCTGCTTTTGGAGGCATATTTGATGGGAATGTGGAAGGGGCTGCCTCAGTAGCTACTCTGAGTAGCAGGGAAAAGCATCTATAGTCAGACAGGGTTTTGACTTTTAAACTGGCTTGTGTGCTGAAGCTAACTTTGAGTGATAGGTGCCAATATCATTCTGAGAGCTTTTTTTGCTAATGAACAGTCTAGAAAAACTTAAATAATTTTAAAATAAATATCTCTTAATAGAGGTGATCTTATGTTTTAATTATAATTCTGTATTTTATTAGCTGTGCTGAGCACTAGTTTTAGTAGAAAATTGGGCTATAATTATAATAACATTTGATCCAAAGCTTCTTGCAAATGAGGCAAGACTCAATGCAGCATCCAAACTCAAGTGATCAGATTTCTGATTGTACAGTGGTACTTCTTTCTTTCTTCCCTCTGGAACCCCCTCCGTATACCTCAGGTCTGCGCCCCGGACTTTCAGAGTCAAATTGGGGTGCATAGGGGGCTGCAACATGTTCTGCTATTCTGCCTCTTCTTCTACCAGTGTATTCTATTGGCTGATGGGCACCATTAGACACAATTGTCAACTTTTCACTCTGACAAATGCAAAGATGGGGGCTATACTGAGTTCTCTCTCATTTGTCTAGGGTTTTCTTATTCTGTGAATGTCAGAAGACTTGAGGGAGAAGTGGGGTCTTATTTTGTTTACATTTAGGTTTGGGTAAGTCAATAAACAATGGAACCAACTCTGGTTTTTAATTTTTGCCTACTGCAAGTGACAACCTGCCAAAGGCTGCAGGGTGACTTTGGCTGGTGAGTAGATTTGTGGACCCTGCTGAGTAACATAAGTAATCTTGCACAGGCCTTAAGTGAATTCCAAACACAAACTATTTCCAGGGGGTTTTCTTTTTAAGTCAGCTGCAGTTCTTGCAACAAATGTAAGCAGCTAATTATTTGACTCCTTTCCCTGTTGCTCAGACTCAGAAAAAAGAAAAGATAAGTAGAAGATCATCAGATTTTCTGGGGAGGACAACCAATGTGCTGATTCCTGTGCTGCCTGGAAACATGCTGTTTGGAACAAGGGTATTTCACTACTTGTTGCAATAGTGGCAGAAACACAATAGGGCTGGAGGGAAGTTATGGGATCGTGTACTCCTAGCATCTCTCTTATTCAACCCTCTGCCAAGGGGGTTTGATTGCTGTAATGTTTTAGTGATCATTTGATTAAAAGCCAGGGTATAAATCTTTAGAATAAATACTTTGTGTACATACTAGGTTTTTATTGACACAAGAAGGATATAAACAGCAGAGCTGTTTGCAAAACAAAACATACAGGAACCTTTTAATATATATGTGTTCCATTGATAATGGACAGAAGGATTTGAGGGTTTTGGAAGTTTTCAAATCAGAAAAAATACCCTTCCCATAATTGATGGATGATGGTTCACCCTACCTATTAGTGATAGTTATTAAAATTATATCATATTAACTTTATATGCTTTTTATGAAAAGTGTTCTCTGTAACCAAAATAGTTGAATTGATGGCTTTGATTAGAAGAAAATAAAAGTATGGTTTAAATGTTATATCCAAATAGTTTCAAAGCTTTGTATTTTTTCTACAATACTTGTAGATATTCTAAGGTATAACAGCTCAGTTGTATACACTTATTATTTTGGATTGTAAGGAGAAAAAAAATAAAGGCACTTTAGTAGGCTAATTTTGACATGCCTGAAGAGCTATATGTATAAATTTATCTGCTTCTGAGGGATAATCAGCTAAAAAAGTTAATTACAACATTGATTTTTATATTTGAGTATCTTTCTATGCCAATAGCTTAATTGGACACACATTGTGTTCATTCCTTATGTTAATGTTATCAGTAATTAATGTTATCAAACACTGAGCAGTGCAAAAGCAGGACTGTGGCTGAACATTAAGAAAACAAAAATCATGAGCACAAAAGAATTATACAATTTTATAGTTAACAATGAAGAAATTGAAATTATGAAATAGTTTACATACTTAGGCTCAGTCATCAATTCCAGTGGTGACTGTAGCCAAGAAATTAAAAGACTGACACTTGGAAGAGCAGCAGTGAATGACCTAGAAGGGATAAATCAAGTCTAAGGATGTTTCACTGGAGATCAAAGCCAAAATCATCCACACTATTGTATTCCCAATCACTATATATGGGTATCAAGTCTGGACAGTGAAGAAAACTGACAGGAAGAAAGTTGATGTATTTGAAACATGGTGCTGGAAGAGAGCAAATACCCTGGAATGACAGAAGTGGTAAACAAGTTAGTTCTAGATCAAATCAAGCCAGAGCTTTACCTGGAAGCAACAATGACACAACTGAGGCTATCATACTTTGGGCACATCACGAGAAAGCAAAATTCCCTGGAGAAGGCGATCATGCTAGGACAATATGAAGGTAAAAGAAGAAAACAGAGACCAAATAAGAGATGGATTGACTCCATAAAGGAAATCACAGGCTTGAATTTAGACAAGTTGAGCAGGACTGTTATGGATAGGACATTTCGAAAGTCTTTCATCCATAGGTCACTGCAAGTTGGCAACAGCTTGATGGCACATAAAACAGCACTGAGTTTCTGAAAATGGACATTTTTCTGTGGATAACTATAGTAGTAGAAAGTGTTTCATTTCATATTGTTGAAATTCTAGCAACACCAAACTGAGCATATCCAATAGATTTCTTTTTCTTTACTCTCACGCTGAAGAATGTTCTGTAAATCAGGGTCTCTGAGTCATTAACTGGTCTCCATGAGGGATATTTCTTGTTGCTATTGGTGACCAGGTATCATGTTAATTATGGCCCTAATCCCATCATGTTCTAATATAGAATCAGTGCACAATAATTTGGTGTTTCAGAATGTCTCATAATATTTTGTTTTCTGAGATAATTGGAAAAAGGCTATTTTCTCCATGTCTTTCATATCTGAATAAATCTGAAAAGAAAAGTCTCCTTGGTATTGTTTCCTTATGAATAAATATGTAGAAAGTATCTGTATTGGATGTGAGTGAAGCTTTTACATTATTTACTGAATGGTTAGTCTAGTTTTTTTACCTATATGAAAATGCCAAAGAGTTTATTTGTGATGAGTTCTCTGGTCTGAGTTCTTTTGTTGGCTCAGACTGTTGCTGGTTTGGTTTCGTTTGAAAAGGTAGCATGAGTTATGGTGGAGTGAGGAAGACCATCTCGAAACAGTGGATGACATTCAAAATCCTGTTCTCAAGTCAGTTAAGTCTACTCAAGATCCCATTTCTAGTTTTTGCCTTCCTAAAATTGTGAATCCTTCGGGATTGGTACCCTATAAACCATAAGAGGATGCCATGAATAAAAATAGTATTCTATGTTTGTACAAAATCCATTCCTGCTCATGCATTGTGGGGATGGCCATAGACCTTGGCTTCAAATCCATTAATATTTACTAGTATTGAACTCCTGTATTTGGTTTGGTCTATAAAAGCTTCAAAATGTTGTGTAAAATTCCAGTGCCGTATTTTTTAAGAACTAGCAACAGTATGCACCGTGTTCTGGTGTTATCTCACTTTCTGTGTAATAAAGTCCCATTGTAGACTGGTAACATCTGTGTAGGAACCATGGTGTATGGGTAGAAAATATCATTTATTTCCCTTCTAACATTGCTCTTACATGCTGAGTAGTGAGATGGCTGAAGGGATTTGTGGTTGCTGTTGGGTTTTTTGCTTTTTCTTTTGAAGCCTTTATTTCTGAAATAGTAACAGGACTGAAATTTCCTTTAATAATTGCAGGTAGTTATGCAAGGAATATTTTAATCCTTTAGCAGAAGCTCAATTCAGTTTAGAAGCAGGCAGGGGAATAGTCTGAAAAATTGACAACTAGTATTTAAGAAAGTTATGTCTATATATGATGTGGAGAAGGTTAGCCTAGGGTAAAGACAAGCTGTAGTCCATTCTGTTTACATTTGATCAAAGGGGTTTTTTTATTGGCGATTGTGCTGTTTAAATAAATGGACTGAAGCGTTGTTCATTTTCAGGTTGCTGTATATATGTTAATACAATATCCATATGATTTTGTTCAACATCATTCATTATTGTTTTGTTTTTCTAGATACAGAATACTTCCCAAGATGTTTGGGGGATATGATGATATAGAAGCATTTGAGGATGATCTGTACTGTGAAGATTCTTCCAGTGAAACCAGTATTGATAGTGAGGTAGAATTTCATCTTTATAGTCAAGTCCATTATGCACAAGACCTTGGACAAGAAGAAACTAAAGAAGTTGGATCTGTGAAAAATCAGAGCTCTGTGACTAAAGAGGACTTAGAAAATAATTCCACTGTAATTTCAGATAGCGATATCATTCACATTTCTGATAGTCCAGAAGTCATCATTTTATCTGATACCCCTGATGAAGACAGCATTTACAAAAGCAAACTCCAGAAGGTAATGATACCACAGGCTCCATCTCTAGGAAGAACATACAATCTTGCTGAGCCCAGCCTTACAAAACCTATTGGAGATTCTTCACAGGTAACCCTGAATGCAAAAAAACAGGCTACGGAAACATCAAGAAAAGAGAAAAGGGCTACCCAGAAATCATTCTCTTTTCACCGTGATGGTGTTCGCATGATCCACAAAATCTTGGTAATTGAGGACAGCTCTAGTGATGAGGATGCAGATGATGCAACAAGTGCAGCCTCTGAAAGTGATAATGTGGAGAGCTGGATGCTCTTGGGAGGTTCCAGAGATGACAAAGATGATAGTATCCTCTTAAACCTTGAGGGCTGTGGAACTTCAGCCAGTGAACGTGAGTATATTTTTGTGGATGATAATGAAAAACGGAAATGTGAAGAAGAGTCAGCTGTTGTAGTGGAAACAAAAAGCTACTAATATTTCTAAAAAAGAAAAATGAGATGTGGAACTATTGCTATACAGTGTTTGTGGTTTATGTGGTACCTTTATAAAACATGGCATTATGTGTTGTTGAATAATAGAGGAATATTCATACAGTGATTCCATACATGTTTATGAGAGCTATTGTATTCCTTAACTTCAGGAAAGTACATAATTCAACTGTAGCCATTACTGGTCTGCAATAAGCAGATTAGTGAGACAGAATGGGCTTTGACAATTATCTTCATCTTGCCGTAATGACTAACCTGCAAGGGATTCCAAGCTAGGTGAGTCTTGGAATGTCTCAAACTCTGTTCTCTGGTGTGGTCATGAGGAAGGAATTGGAAACTTTCATTTCTGTTTTGACTAACCGCAATTTGCTGTTATGCCTGAACCTGGACAAACTTTGGTTAATTTCAACTATGGTTTACTGAAACATGGTGACTTAGAAATTTTGTTCATGAATTGGGCTTGTTTCCAAAAAGTATAGTCAAGATTAGCCACTGTTTGGATTTGAAGGAAGTTGAAGAAAAAGCTTCCAATCACCCTGTGGCACTGCTGGAAAAAGAAAGGTAAGAATGGCAGTGCCCAAATGCAAGGCTTGTGAGGCTTGTTTCTGTAATGATAAACTATAGTTTATCATTATGTCTAAAGACAGGTCAATAGGTGTAATAGGAGAAGGAAATAGAAATCCCATTAAAGGTAATTGAGCCATGACACAGTTGTAAGATTTATCAGCTAGTGGTATACAAAGGCCTTTTCATGTACTACTTCATGGCAAATACGAGTTTGGCCCAGCACCTTCACATGGCAAGAAAATACATTTACACCTGCCTTCCTGGTATAAATGGCTATAAGACTTCCACAAAAGGGCATTTGTTACCTGTCAGCATTGTAGTTTCAGTGAAAATGCACTGCTGGTATTCAGTGTATGAAGCTGTTCAGCAACTTCTGTCATGGTTACCAGATCGTTAGAATGTAAATTCGGTTACTTTTAAAAGTAAGTTCCCAGGTAGGAAAGGCAGAAGAGATGAGGTAGGCATGCTTATACTTAGCAGCACATTCAGAGTAGAATCTTGTATTGATAATGTTGTTACAATGATGTCTTAGTGGTTGAAAAAGGATTATATGCCCTGTTTTGCTTGTGTGTTGTTGCACATTCATTAATGCTCTTTGTCAGTCACTAAGAATAAGCATTGCCTCCTGGAATGTAGTTGTAGTACTTTAAACCAACAGTTGATGTTTTATAGGCTGTATTATCTCTGAGATACAGGCTTGTGTTAGCTTCTAACACCTACTGTTATTCTAAATCCCCAGTTTGGCTTCAGAAAATGCCTAGGAATAACTCATGATGAGAGTGGAACATTGTATGCCATATGATTTGTGTTTAGCAAATACATTTTTAAATAATTATTTGGTTGTATTTTACCTCTCTCCTATGAGGAGAACCTTTCCCCTTTTCCTTCTTTATGTAGCCTCCTACCCCCTGATAATACAGTATTTGGATTCTGGCACACTCTGAAAGGCAATGGCATGTAGTACAGGGGTACAGCAAGGAGGAGGAATTGCCTAAAAATGGTGATACTCCTTGTTGTTTGAGTGGAACATGACATTTTGATCCAAATGATTAGGTTTTATGATGATTTTTAAATATTTAAAATAATTTGTGAAGGAGAAGGTTAAGGTATTTCCTATCCGTTTCTCAAAGAAAACTTTGCCCTAACGGGTAGTAGTATTTGAGTAATACCCAAATATTTCTCTAGTGAGAATTTTATGGCTTCATCCTATACACCACATCACTGACAAGACAGCATATATGATTGGAGTAGGTGTCCTTGACTTTAGTAGGTTGTCTGACAGGTATACCGGGCTTATTAATAGTCAAAGGTCCTCTGAGACTTGGTACATGTGCAACATCTGTATGCTTTTGAGATATTCTGAATCCTTTAGAAGTAAAACATTAATGAAGAGTTGAGTTAGGGTTTTTTTGTGTAAACAAGAAAACAGTGTTTGGTGTTCACTATTGCAGGACTGAACACTTTGCATTTCTAAAAGTGTGCTCCATAAAATTAGATAACGATCTAAGAAATGACCACTGTATTTCTTAACTGAGTAAAAAATAGGGTTCCCAGGGGTTGGGTTACAGATTTGGGATACATGACCCAGCCTACAGAATCTCAGTCTCTCCAGAATTATATTCCATTATCGCCCCTTCCATCTGTCCTCAGCTGTATACTCATTTAAGAATTCCACTGCCTCTTCTGGATTCTTAAATGGAAAACCAAAAGTAGAGGTGTGTACAATTTGCATACTAGTGATATGAAAGCCCAGAATTCTGGATGACTTCTCCTAGCAGCATTACATGGATATTAAAGAATATAACAACTATAAAATAGAGCCCTGTGACATCCTACAAGACAAAGGCTGTGAGGTGGAACAGAAATCACCCAGCACTAAGTAATAGCAGTGACCATCAAGAAAGCACTGTAATAGCATACCTCCTGAGCCCAGGTTAAAGAGACAGTGCAGAAGGATGCTATAGTTGATAGTGTCCTAGAAAGCCCAGAAGACTCAAGAGAGTTACACTCCCAGTATTCAGTTTGTAGTGGATGTTGTTTGGTAGGGTAACTTTGGCAATTTTCAATCTCATATCAGAAGAGTTGTTTTCTTTGAAACTACCTAGAATTGATTTCCCCACTGTCCCTGAGTTTTCACTTAAGAAGGAAAGGCTTCAGGCTAGATAGTAGTTGCCTGAGGTCTCTGTTCAAAGGTTCAGTCAGTTTCATTCACTACTGCTTTCATAGGCTCAGTGGGGACCACAGCCCTCCCTCTAAAAGAATTTAACCTCTAAAATTCAAGTCTTCAACTCTACTCTTTTAAATAGCAAGGGTGGGCAGGATTGTAGACAACTGGTGTTGGTTCTCATACTTTCAAGTAGCCTATCCATTTCTTCTGGTTGAAACAAGCTGAAAAGTATCTGTCATGACATGACAGTAGCTACATTGGACTTTGTTCTTGTTAAAATCATGGCATCTAACTCAGTGTGAAAACGAGCAATTTCACCTCCAGAATTCATAGCATATTCATCACAGTGGGCTATTGAGGGCTCTAGCAACAAATCTACTGAATTTATGTGGAGGAGGATTTTTTACCACCTGAAACAGCTTCATTTACCTTCATTGTGCAGATGCACTCATAGTTGTGATAAAGAGTTAAGGGTTGTTGTTGTCATTACTGTCATGGAATAAGCCTGAAGATGGGTTTTACCTTTGCTTAGTCATGCTCACAATGAGTATGTGAGCCATCCCTTCTCTGATTGCTGGCCTGATCATTTCATTACTCTGAACTCCTCAGGGTACCAAGCAAGTGATAGGATTTTGTGTCTTGGTTGAGGATACTTGGCGATGTTTATATATAAACCAAAGATGACCCAAAGTCTGGCTTCTGAAATGACTTCTAGAGTGCTAGACAAGGCATTTGTTGAGTTAGGCCCAAAAAACTGCTGTGCTTAATTAACAACTGAAGCTGAAACTGTTCAATCTCTTGTGTTTGCCCCAGTGAAGGAAGGGTGTGTATCTGATCCCAAGACTTACCTAGGCTTATTCCCATCATGATAGACAATGATTTATTTTTATGTCTAATCACAGCCAGTGCCAATATTATATTGTTCTATAAATAAGCTACAAGAGGAAGTTATAGATTTCTGGTAAATAAAAATGGGATGGATAACCTTGTCTGACAGGAAATGTTTGCATCATTTTTGACATATTTTCTAGACAAGTCTGCATGCATTTCACTTTTAGGTAAGCCCAACACTAAGGGCTGTCTGCCACAAGGCTGAATGTCACTTCAGCTTTTCCTGTTTTAAAATAATATTATTGTTCCTGTAATGCTATTATTTCTTGTCAGTATTTAAGGATGAATGCTTACAATGTTTCTGGAGCCCATATCCAACAGAAAATAAGATTCTTCTGATAGAAGCTTTTATTTAATATAATGGGTGACTTAAAAATATAGATAAGTGTATAAAAGGATCATTGCTAATAACAGATATTATAAAGTAATATACTCTGGATGTCTCTGCATTTTGTAAACAGTATCAAATTGCAATGTATTTTGGAGCAATTGCTCAGCAGACTGAAAACCTCATTAAAAGCTTTATAACCTTCATGGAAGCTTTGGCTGGCATTTTAATAATAATTTTGGAAATAGAGGCCATATTTAGATATTTCGTCTAGTTTACATGTCCTTCCCATGGTGAGCCACTTCTGGCTATCCCCACAGTATTTGACCCAGTATTGCTGACATCTACCTGCTAATTTGTAAAACTGCCAGTTATTATTCCTATCCAGTGCCAGTATTGTTCCAGAAGTGATAAGTAAACCATGAAGTATAATGTTTGCAGAGCAATATTTTACTTAACTGAAACCTTTTCTTTGAGTCTGCTATCGTACTTTTAAAAACTTTTCTTTTGAGAGAGAAACCAAAAAAGTCAGAATTACTAAGAATATTTATTTTGGATCATGTGTACAAATGCTGCTTTCCCTTTTTGTCATGAATTTGTGTGGGTATGACTGGTCATGTAACCTGTTCCAGAGATTTTCATTCTGGTTTAGAAAATCAAGGAGGAATATTTTTATGGAATTACTTTAAAGAACTGTATGCTGGGTTTTGGAGCAATTTGCTTTTTAGCTAATGATAGCAGCTTCTGCTCATAGCACTATTTATGAAGCCTTTAATTATTGTTTTAACTGAGGAAAATAAGCTCCGCTAAAAGCTATTTTTAAACTAGATAACTATTAATAAATATGCTATGGTAAATTTAATGGAGTGAACTTGCAACATTTAACATACAGTGAGTTTTTAGCCAGGCAGACAAAATTTAGATTTTATAAAGATTCACCTAATTAATTA